TGAGTGGATACTTAGTCCCACCTCCTGGTGTTGGAGCCATTAGGACTTCAATGCCTAAAAGGTAACCATTCCACCTGCAATGCTAGGACACTGCATACACGGACACTTCTGAGCCATGTCAGTTGTGGACAAATTGCCAATAAGTGACATTTGGAAAAGGTTTGGCCATTGTATGTGTCCACACCTACTATCTCTGCCACTGATGGTATGCACGGACAAAACACTTAATCTAGTTTAAATGTGGTTTAAACCACAAGCATCCAAATGTACAAACCAGTTCAGAATGGTTTAAATCCCCTTTACTATCTCAAAACTATACCTGAATAATCAAGTATTATTTTGAACTGGTTCTCCACAGACTGGTTCAGCATTATATGTGGACACCAAGCTCCCCATGACTATTGTCTGGTTGGTCCTCCAGGAGTCCCAAATTGCACTGCTCTTCACCCTCCCTCCCACTACAGCCCCACACAGAAACTGGCTACTCTGGTATGCAACAAGAACTCCACTGCCCCAACCTCCATTGCCAGCACTTGACTACATTTCCCTGGTGAGGAGTCTGATAGCATCCCTCTGCTGCTTTTAAGAGCTGGTCAATTTCTTTCTACTGCCAGCAACTGACTGGGGTTCTATGCATCCCAGGCCTATTTTGGGCAGCAGTTGCTGACCGGACCCCAGGTGTGGGTAAAATAATGGATTTGGCCGGTAGCTGGAATCTATTTCCCATCAGCCCCTGCCTGCATTGCTGCAGGTGGTTTCCATGGAGAGCATCCCCAGCAGTGCTGGCAGGGCTCATGGCTGGGCCGGGAGCTGCTCTGGGCCAGGATCTTGCAGCAGTGACAGTGTGGTCCAGAGCCAGGGCAAAGCCATGCCTGCACACCCTTGTCTAAGGCGTGTGGGCAGCAGATAGCAGCTCTGTCCTGGATCCAGACTACACTGTCACCGTCACAAGATCCCAGAGCAGCTCTCCATCCAGCCGCATGCCTTGCCAGTGCTGTTGGGGTCAGTCTCCAAGGAAACTCCAGCCTCATGCTGTCATGGCACCACTGCTGGTAGGGTCTGCATAAAAACTGGCTGCAGTGACACGGGTTGGGGGTGCCGGGAGATGGAGATGGCTGTAGGCCTGATCTGGCCGGTGGGCCGGACTTTGCCTATCCCTGGCCTAGAGGCTGGCTGCTGCTTTTAAAGAGTTGGTCAGCTTCCTTCCATTGGTGGCAACTGATCATGGTTCCTCACATCACAAGCTTATTTTGAGTGAGGGGCAGTAATGTAGCAGTGGTCAGGTGGCAGAGGATTGCCAGGGCCCGTGCTTTCATGTGTCTGGGAGTTGAGGGTCCTGTGGGGGGGGGGGGGGGGGGGGGGGAGAGGGGATGCTGCCCAAGGACTCCACTGCCACCAATGGAAGGAAACTGCCCAGCTTTTAAAAGAGTTGCCCTCTAAGCCCCTAACCCCCAGATACACAGAAGCAGGGATCCACCAAATCCTATTTAATTAATGGAAATTGACAAATTGATGAGTGGCTTGAGAAAAGTACTATTTAAAAGCTTATAAAGCTCTGGCAGCACCTTGAGAATCCAGAAGCATATCTCCAGGCAGCTCCCACACCTTACACACACACCTAGGCACATGGGTGACTGGTGCCTCATAAGTCTGGGGGGGGCGGGCACAGCATACAGGGATGGAGCACAACACACCATTACTCCCCCACCCCTCGCTGGGCCACCCCTCCCTGTGCCTCTCTCCTCCCCCTCCTTGCAACAGCCCCAGGCTTACCTTTCTCCCTGCAGGAGGAACAGCACCTCTGCTGGAGGATCAGAGCACGCTCTTTACAGGTAAGGATGGGGAGGGAAGAAGGGGCCGCATGGCGGGGGGACGTGGGGCAGTACTCTGGTTGGCTGGAGCGTTCTCTGATGCTCCAGGCTCCAGAGCGGTGTCAGGGAGGGCAGGCCTGGGTAGAGAAGCAGAGGACAGCCCCCGGCCATACAATTAGAACAGCGGGGATCTGCTGGATGCCTGGCCCTGTCCGGAGTGGTGCCTAGTTGGAGTCAATGAGCCCCCCAGCACTTTTGGGGCCAATCTCAGGGGAGGCATATGACCCCCCTACCAGATGCCTGTGCCTAGGCCTACCAGTCAGGGTGCCATCAACAGATTCCAGTAAATTGTAGAAATGGCTCTTTATTGAACTCAGTACTAGTGAGAAGGGGGAGCCGATAACTGCAACTCGACTGAGTACTCACCATTATGGTTCAACAGCATGGCGACACCTAAAAGGCAGTGGCTCTACTTAGAACCCTTAAGAATATATGTGTTGATACCTCTGACCTGGGACAATTGTGAAACAGTTTCCAATCAGTGACATTCTTAGAATGGTTCAAACTTTATGTCTGTCCACACTCTGAGAGAATGACCTTTTATGTCAGATATTAGGAAGAACTTACAATTTATGAAACAGGAACAGATTACCTGGGAAGGCTGTAGATTCTACAACACTGAAAGTGGTTAAGTACAGGCTAGACAAATATTTTTCTAGTTCAGATAGAGATGATCTTGGCTAGAGCAGAGAGTTGGGACTAGGGGGGGCCTCTTAAAGTCCCTTTCACTCCTATTTTTCTATTATTCTAACTGCACAGTGGTAGATGAAATTGACAAATGCAAAATAATGTATAGTATAGGGAATAATCTAAACTACTCATGCATACTTGCTGAGTTCTAAATCAATATAGCCACTAAAAAAAAAGATATAGGAGTCCCTCCGAAGAGCTCAGTGTAGTCTTCTGCTCAGTGCAGAAACAAAAAGGGTCCAGAAATTAATGATGAATATGGTAAGATATAAAAAGATATGCATATGAAAAGAGATTAAAAAGTGTGGAACTCTTTTGCTTAGCCAAGCCTAAAAAAGGCTATAACCACTATATGATAGAGCAGGTGCAGGCAAAGTCTGACCCACATGTTGGATTGGGCTTGAGGCAGACTCCATTTCCCAGCAGCCCCTGCCCTTGTCACTGTAGCTGGTTTCCATGGAGACCCCAGGAACAGTGGGGCCATGATAGCATGGGGCCAGGGTTTCCATGGAGACCGGCCCAAGCAACGCTTGTGGGGTATGTGCCTGGGTGGGTTGCTGCTTCGGGGCTAGGATCTTGTGGCAGTGACAGTGTGAGCTGGAGCCAGGGCACAGCTGTGATCCACTGACTGTCATCGTAGAAACCACTAGCTGTAATTTGTTCATAGTTCCTAAAGTGAGGTAAGATTGCTAGAAAATATAGGGGACGCTAATAACTGAGTTCACAGCTACTGGGCCACAACATGGGGCTCTGAACAAAGAAAAAGTTTTCACTCAATTTTATCCTCTAGTAACAAAATAACCAAGGACATTCTATGAAACTGAAAGGCAATGAATTTAAAACTTATGAAAGAAAAAGCTTCCTTAGGCAATAATTAACTCAGACAAAAATAGTGTGAAGGCCAAGAGCTCAGTAGGATTTAAGATTCAAAAAAGGATTAGAAATTTGTGTTTAATGAAAACAGATACAGTTAAATTAGATATGATAAAAATAAACAAACTAATCAGGGATTATAAACTTTGTTGCAGAAGCCAGCCACTAAATTAAGGTGTTAAGAAGAAATTGTCCCTATGGGGAGAATAACTGTCCATTATGAGTATTTTAGCACCTTTTATGAAGCAGCTGATACCATTGGACACCAAATATCTAGTCACTCTATTTGTATGGCATCTCATATATACTTACGTTAAAAGCAGATTTTTTTGAGGAAATAAAATAAGGTATATTTTGAAATAATACAATTAAGTTCAGAAAGCCAGTCAGTTTACTGACAAATAGGGTTGACACACTTTAAGCTCTGTGATCCATTAATTATTTTTATTTAAATGATAGGACAATTTTCCAAGTTCTGATAATAGATTTTATGCTAAACATTTCTGAAATCCATTGCATGCCAACATGAACTATCCCTTGTCATCGGCTGATTAATAGAGCGCTACAATCCTGTCTTATAGCAGAAGAATTCTGCCCTGAGTTGTCAGTATTTGAAGGTCTTATTTTACTACACTATTAATGAATGTAGGCAAAAACTGTAACAGACATGATAAAAACATTATCTGCATTCCAAATTAGGACATGGTTAATTTTTTACTGGTTGTCTAGGATAAGCAATCCTTTCCTTTGATAATTTCAATTTAAGGTAATTTTTAAAAGGTACACACTTAAGCTGAGTTCATCTGAAGTCAAGAACCTTTTCAAATTAGTTTCTATCTTAATTTTGGCCATTATTAACACTTTTATTGCCACACATGACAAGGATTAAATACCCATTAGACAACAAACAAAAAAACAGTATATGTGTTCTATAAAGTGATCTTTGCTTAAAAAAAAAAATTAAGAAACCCACTACCACCACCAATCCAATCACTACAGTATCGTAACAAAATTATACAAAACAGGAACAGGGCACTCTATTTATAAAGTTCATAGTATGGACTTCATTATAACCTTTTATAAAAGCAAGTGTTTTCTATTTTAACTAGTTGAAATTATATAGGGAATGTCCACGGAATTAAGAAGATTGGTGGACTGGGAGTTTGAGAGAAACTCTGGAAGAAACATTTTCAAAAGTAAGAAACTGACTTACAAATCTGTCTTTGAGAGGCAACTTATACATGGGCCTTAGTAGATGCAACTTAGCGCTTCTGAAAACTACCTTAGATTTTTTTTTTAAACTGTTTCCTTGAAACAAATTTTTACTAAATTAGCTCAATGAAGATATATAAAACATACTCTCCTCAAGTGAAAGAATACAGGTGACACCCACATCAGAACTTCAAACATAAAAGAAAAGGGTCTAGACATTCTCACTTTGTACTTTCATTTTATGAACTTTGGACACATGACATTATAATTTCAACGCCTATTGTCACTTAACATTATGTTGTCACATATAATAATTTCAGTTATAACCAATTGACATTTCAAATGTTCACCAACCTGATTGAACACATCTGCACAATACTGTTTGTGCACTTGGAAGGGGTTGAAGACTGGTTGTTCTTCTATGTTATTCAGTATCAAATTTAAACATCTAGTTGGTGGCAGATCCTCTTCAGAAGAATTCTCACAAGACAGTTGTTCTTTCAAATATTCCTTTTAAGAAGAAATGCAAAATCAGTAAAGGCCACATATACTGGATAACAATTTGATCAAATTCCAGCTATAGCTCATTTAAATACCAAGTATAAATTCATTGTATGCTTGAAATATATAGTGCTTCTAATTATGATGGAGAACCAAAAATTTTTCTTAAAACTGAAACCTTCTTAAGAATAACTGAAGTTATAGAAAGAAAAGCTGCATGCTGAGAAAATGCTTCATGATATTCTTCTACTACCCGTACTAAAAACAAAACAATTCAAAATATCATCAGGCTGTGATAGACTACAGATTTTATTGTGATATAACTATGTTCATATTGGGCATGGACAGACATAGCACTTTAGAATGGTTTAAACCTCCTGTAAAGTTTCAGAAGTATACCTGATTAATAAGGTATTATTTTAAAGTGGTCCTCCTTGAACCAGTTCAGCATTATATGCAGACACCAAGCTTTCTGTGACTAGTGTCTGGTCAGTCCTCCAAACAGCCCACACTGCACTGCTCTTCATTCCCTCCTCCCCACACAACTCCTGCATGGCAACTGGCCACTCTGGCACTCAGCCAAAATTCTACTGCACAAACCTATATTGCCCCTACTTGATCCAGTCCATGCCATGACTGGCTGATTTGGGTGGTCAGATGGATAGAGAGAGGGACCTCTGCTTCTGGATTCTCCTAGGGTGCTGGGTGGTCTGGAGAGCTGCTGAATGCATCTACAGCTTTTAAACAGCACTTTCCCCCAGGCTGCTTGTCAGTTTCATCATTCCACTGGTGATAACTCACCAGGCTTTGTGGCATTTCAGGCTGATTTGTGCTGCGGAGGGTGGTTAAGTGGGTTGAGGGGGTAACCCTGAATCTGCATTCCTGGGAGTCTGCCCAGGTCTTTGCAACTTTTAAACAGCACTGTTCTCCAAGCCACTGGTCAATTTTTTTCCATTAATTGACATGGAGACCTTGCACAGTCCCAAGATGACCCAGCACCCTTAGAATGCAGAAGCAGGGGGTATACTTCTGGGTTCTCAGGGTGTTGAGTCATCCCCTACCACATACATCTCAGGGTGCTGGTTCACTTCCACGACATGCGTCCACCCCAAATCAGTCTAGAATTTCTCAAAACATAGTCAACTGCCACGAACAGAATGAAATTAACAAGAGCCTTGGGGGAAAATGCTGTTTAAAACTAATGGAAATTTTGTGCAGCTTCCAGAATACCCAGCTCCCTGGGAACCCAGAACCAGGAATTCAGGCACCTTCCCCACTTGCCAACCCTAGGGAAAGTCTTCTTAAAGCAGTAGCCTGAACCAGAGACCTGGGCAGCATCCAGCTCCTGGGAAGAGAGAAGCCACCCCCCACCAAACAACAAGCTGCCCCTTCACCCCCAAATCAGCCTGTGATATGCTGAACCCTGCTACACTTCTAGGAACTGAAGTACATTTTGATGAGTGGCTTGGGGAAATGTGGTTGTTAAAAGACACAAAAGTTCTGACAGCCCCAGAGCACCAAACTCTTGGGAACTCAGAAGCAGAAACCTAGGCAGCCTCTTCCACACACACTCTCTCTCTCTCTCTCTCTCACACACACACACACACACACACACACACCCCTAGGTCAGGTTACCACCACACAGATTTTGGTTAAGTGCAGGAATAGTCTTTATTGAACTCAAAGCGAGTTAGAAGGGGTCTCAGAAGAGAAAGCTGCAACTGCAGGCAATTTATGATGTCTTCTTTTCTTGGTGTTCAGCTAAAGGGAGTTCCCTAATCACCTGGCCAAAGAAAGTTTCTCTCAGTATGGCCCAAAGAATATTAAATTATTTTGACAAGTG